AAGACAAAAAAAAAAAAAAAACACAAACAAACCTGAATTATCACTTTAAGAATTCTGAAGAAAAAAAAACTTTCTCGTGACAAGTCATAAGTCTTTATTCAAAGATCCTATTGTGTGTTTGTGAATGAAAAGTTTTTTGAGGATCAGTTTTATGTTGCAGTCCTGCTGTACATATATATAGATATATAGGATAGGTAGTCAACAATGCTTTTAGGCTGAAGCAGAAAGATTCGTTACAGGTTAACCTCATTCACAGTGGAGCATATGAGTGTGCTATGTCTTTATGGCAATGAGACATGGGAAAGTTAATTGTACAAGACATAATGACAGCCTTGATTGTAAAACCCACCTACTTTACCCATTCATGCAGGAGGAAGTGGCCATATGTCATGTGACACTGGGCTCAGCTTAAGAAATCAGCCTTAAGCCGATTTGCATGTCGCCATGGCAACTATTCTAAGCTGCTTTACCCTTTAAACCCCTGCTGGATTTGAAGTTACCCATTACAGCAAATGTGGACTGAGTGAATCCCTTAGAAAGGGAATTACATCCTTCATTCACACCTAGGTGTCAGCAACACAGCTCATGCACCTTTATGGTGATTACGGTCAGAAAAGAAGTGACCAATAGAAATGAAATAACTTAACGAGCCATTTCACTCATTAGCTGTGCACATCATCACCAAATGTTCAGAAACAAAGCTCTTTTTCTTAACGCTTAACCAATTTTCCTGGTATGATATGGTGATGAGTGGCTGGTTTCCATTTATAAACATACCCGTTCGTGGTTCTCGATTAGGATTTCTACCACAATGTTCTGGAACTTGATGTCCATGATTGCAGCGACAGTCTCTTCCTGAGGCCTCAAGAGTGTAGGGCCGAACACTACGCCGAGGTTAGCAACCGTCATCAAATTCTGCAGGTGGTGACTGGCCACTCTGGTGAGAGAGTAAGATATCTGAAGTCATTTATTTCTTATTGTATTGTAGTGCTTTTCTGAGTAGTTAGCTTTATTGATAACAAAAATAGAGCTACAATAACTAATCAATAAAAGCAATAAAAATAATGGAAATGTTCTTTGATCAATTTGCTGTAAAATATTATGCATTCTTAAAAATCTAATTTAGGAAATTTACCATAATTGAAATCCTAAAACACACACACAGCTTTGTTTTTGTGAATTGTGGGGACATTCCATAGGCCTAATGGTTTTTATACTGTACAAACTGTATGTGCTATTGCCCTACACCAACCCTAACCCTAAACCTACCCCTCACAGGAAACTTTGTGCATTTTTACTTTCTCAAAAAAAACTCACTCTGTATAATTTATAAGCGTTTTGAAAAATGGGGACACGGGGTAATGTCCTCATAAGTCACCTTCTCCTTGTAATACATATGTCATACCCATGTCATTATACAAATTTGTGTCTTCATATGTCACAAAAACATGCGCGCACACACACACACACACACACACACAAACTGACATAGAAGACCATTGATGACACAGTTTATCTTGGCTTTTACCCAAAAATGCCACTTAACCCTATAAAGCCTACTGTATCGTACTTGATACACAAATATCTAAGGCCTCTAAATTATCAACATGATCAAAACTTTGCTGGAAAACCTTGTTGAGCATTCTGCCGTAGTTTAACTTTTTTCGTACTTTTTTAAAACAAGTACAAGACCTTTTAGTATCATTGTAAAAATGTTTGAGAGTCCAGTCTCACTGGCTTCGGCCGTGTACGTTTTTACGTACATTTCAACATTCACTGACACGTTTCAGGTCTGAAACATTGCATCTGTTGCTGATGTTGTGAAACAGAACAAAAGATCCCGTTCCTGATTCTGTGAGGTCACTTCCTGACACAGTCTGGACCCACACAGACACATTATTCCAATTAAAATGACATTAATGCTCACGTGTTTGTGTCTGCCTTGTTGTAAAAGCACAGTGCCACCTAGTGTATGTAACCGCTGCAGCAGTGTCCATTAAGAGCAAAGCTAATCCGCCAGACACTGGCTCTTAAAGGTCACTGAAATATTAGTGATCTCTCTGGCTGCCATGATATCCTAATAATCCCCAGTAACAAGAGTACAGCGAGAGAAGAGAGATATAAAAGAGGTTGTTTTAGACATGATAAGGGACAAAATAAATAAATAAAATAAATCAAAAGTAATTAATTAATTAATTGCACTGCAAAAAATTATTTTCTAACTTAGTATTTTTTTGTTTTCTGAAAAATTATCAGAATTTTGTTAGTTTTTGCTTAATACAAGAAAAAATATCTGCCAATGGGGTAAGAAAAATCATTTTGATTTGTCCTTGAAGTAAGATTATTTTTCTTACCCCATTGGCAGATATCCTTTTTTCTTGTTTTAAGCAAAAATGTAAAAAATTAATACATTTTTCAGAGAACAAGACAAAGTAATTTTGCTTCTCAAGTAAAATTCTACAATTCGAACACACAACACCTGGATGAGCGCCACAGCTTTTTATTTATAGCATAGTATAAAATGTAATTATAAATGTATTAATATAATTATATATATATATATATATATAAAATGCATAATAAATATTTAATACATTCTAAAAAAAAATAAATAAATAAATAAATGTATTTAAGAACAAACTTCAACACAAGAATATATATATTGTCTGAAAACAAGTCTTACTATCTTAAACACAAAATACAGATGAAGAAATGATCTGCTGCTAATCCAAGCCATTCAAAAACCCCTGCAAGACATAACCAGACCAGTCATGTATTTGATCGTGTTGAACAGAAACCGAACCTGTAGACCATGCACACACATTTTCACACTTTCTTGTCTCTCTTGATTTTCTCTTCTCCAGTTACATACACATTCACATCGTCTCTCACTCCCTTATTCCCATATCCCTATCTCTCTCTCTCTCTGCTGATGGGCAAACTCCAGATGGCACCTTGCTCTTTATCACATAAATGGCTCATATAGACAGGAATGAACGAGGGGAGGAGTGGAAAAAAAGAGAGAAAATGAAAGGCAGAAGGGGGGGTGGAGCTCTCCGAAAGAAACAAAAAAAGTTAATATGAGGACAAGGGCCTAACATCACCCTTAAGGACTGGCAAAGAAAAAAAAGAAAGTACAGAAGGAAAGAGAGAGAAAAATAGAGACAAAAAAGGGAACGATGGTAGAAAGCAAAACGAGATAAGATGAAGATAGCATGAGATACAAAGCAAAAAAAAAAAAAAAAAAAGCATCTTAATAATCAGTCTTGTTTTCACGTACAAAAATATCCAACCATCCTTAATGCAAGATATATTTACTTGAGCAGCAAAATTGCATTAAATATTGTTTTCAGACAATGTATATTTTTGTATTTAATATATCTGTAATTATTTTTTCTTCATTAGTTAAAAAATGTGAAATAATTTATGAAAAATAATTTATGAATTAGTTTTAATAATTTATGAAATATATTTAACAATTTTAGCAAACAGTTGTTTTAAGTAAAAATCGAATAAAATGTAATTAAGTTTGTGCTTAAAACTCAATTGTCAAATTTCTAATTCTAATCAAAGTTTTTGCAGTGTGAAAATCAAAGTTTATGTTACAAATGGGATACAAAAGACGATCTGGAAGAGGGACAACATCCCTCGGCGTCTCAGACAAAAGCTGCCATACTGTAAATCCATTTTCTTTCCTCTACACCCCGGTTTCCTGTTTCAGATCATACTAGCTTGAGCACTCCTACTCTGTAGTGTGTTTTATCAAATGGTCGAACTATAGTCAAATAGTTTTAAATAGTCAAAATAGATCAGGGGAAATACGGCCAGACCGGTCCAACCAGACAGATAGAGAGAAACTCACTGGCTGCTTTGATGAAGCTCCTCTGGTACTGGTATGTCATGAGAGGGGCCGGCAGCATCCTGGTAGAAGAGGAGAAGAGAAAATATTAGCGATTATATAACAGACCAAATAGACTCAAAAACAGAAGGAATGGCGTCGAGACAAATTAAACTGAGAATTTTTGGATGCACGATGATGATATGTCTTCCTCTATCGTTGTAAAATGCTTATTCATATTTACTAACTTCTGAGAGGTTTTAATTTTAGCCTGCAAGCTAATTTGTAGATTATTAACAATGTTGTGGAATTACATGAATAATCAGACTGTCTGTCAGACTGTATTTTTATATTTTTCGACAAAAATGTAAGTGGTAATTGGAATATATCATGTTTATAACATGAATTACTATATTTGTATATTTTTTGAAAATAATATGAGTGGTAATTGCTAGGGATGGAACGATTCACAATACTGATTTCACAATACAATTTTCCTATGATTTTTTTTTTTTTTTTTACAAAATGAGATTTAAGGCAAATTTTAAATGAAAAGTTGTCCTTTTATTATTTTTCAGACAAATGCTGCACATTTCTCTGTGAAATTGAAATGTCAAATAACAACACTAAATTTAAATTTTAAAACAAATCTCAAATCAAATAAATAAATGCAAATAAAAGAAATCTCTTCATATAAACAAACTAAGGTGTGCTATTTCTATTTGAAATTAGAGGCAACCACTACATTTTATTCACGATCCAAACAAAGATGCTGCATACATGCAGCATGAGCAGTTCTTGATTTAAATTAGATTGTATAATTTTGAAATTTAAGCAAAAACAGAATGCTCTGACTTCAGCTTTGTTAAACTATACTACATAAAACATATCTGAATGATACAAAAACAGCAGACGGGCTGCATGACATGCAAATTCACTCTCTGACAGCAGGTGGCGCTCATGGAACAGCAGCAATACAGTGTTTCCTTGGTTACCGTTGTAAACAAAGCAGTACTGCGCTTATAAACACCAGTCTAGAAAAGAAAATACCATCTAAACTTTTCTGAAGACAAGTCAGTTCCCATCAGAGATACATTGATATAAACTCCCACCCCCAAATGTACGGCGATTAGTTTAACATCTCAAATGACTTGAATCGCCACATATTTTTATCGATCTTCGACCAGCTCGGGGTATGATTCGGGGTGCATTGTTGCATCCCTAGTAATTGCTCATGTAAAACTTCTTGGCACGGTGCTAGCATGTTGTGGGTGGTTGCCAGGCTAGTATAATGAACCAATTGTATTGAATGTGCACTTAAAATTATATATAAAAAGATGTACTAGCAAATAATATAATATTATTGAAATAAAAGTCCAGGTAAGTGTACTTTCACTTTTAAGTACAATTTCATGACTATGTTTCTTAACACACTTAAGTACATTTTTAAAAGTGCACGTTGTAATAATTATAAAATATTTTACTATAAAAAAACATTTTAAAACATTATGTTTCAATAATCTTTTGCTTTAATAAAGAATACTCAATTTTGATGTTGACTAACATACTAAATCATATGTAACACTTAATTATATATCCAACTGTAATGTTACTAGATATTACAGTTAATAATCTAATATATTAAATCTACTTTAAATATACTTTAAATACATGACATGCAACTTTCAACAGAAATTACATTATAGCATATTTTAGTTCACCATAAATGCTTGTCAGTACATTTAGCAGTACACTGTAAGCATATTTCAAACACAATACATTTAAAGACTTAATTCCCACTTACTGTAAGTGGGTAAGGAACCCGACTTGACACACTCAATATGTGAAGTCTTCATTTTGTAAATACGACTACTTATACTGGTAAGTAAGGAATAATTGACGACAGGCCGTTGAATTATTAGAAAATAGTGCATCACCATGACGCGAAGCGGACCAGAGCAGATTATGTGATCGGAGCTAGGAGTGGAGCGGCATGATTTTTGACTGGAGCAGAGTTGATTTTTTTTAAGTCAGAGCGTCGTGGTGGTAATCTGTTTGTTTGTAGCATGTGGATATTCAATATTGATTGTGTGAATTCACGTTTTAAACAGTTTATTGTACAGGTAGTAAATCTGTGATTTATCATCTTAAAACAAGAAAAATTATAGCATATTCTTTCTGTTTCTGAAGTAACTACAACCCTCAGCTTTGCCATAGTAGAGAGACGGTGCACAGACAAGTGAGTTAAACAGTCATTTAATATAGATGTTGGCTAACTATAGTTATCCAATAAACCACGTTAAAACTATTCTTCTAGTATTGTGTATTTGTTTTTTCGTTTAATATAAGTTCTGAACAGAACTTTGTGATATTTCAAAACAGGCTACTGAAATACTTTAGCCACAAATTTCGTCATGGAGCGAAGGCGGAGCAGTGTTTCTAAACAGTGGAGTGAGGAGCGGGAAATGGTGAACCCGGAGCGGAGTGATAATTGAATTGGAGCGCAGAGGAGAAACGTCTCGGGTTATGCATGTAAACCATGGTTCCCCGAGAGGGAACGAGACGCTGTGTCATCTAGAGGACACTTTGGGGAATGCTGGCAGCATGACCGGTGTCTGAAGCACATGTCAAATAACGCCAATCCTATTGGTCCACATGGCCCGTGAAGTCATAGGCGGGTGCCCGGAAGTATAAAAGGCCACCTGCTAAATACGTCACCAACTTAGTTATCTGAAGGAGATGTAAACAAACAGGCCACATAATCATGGGGAACCATGGTTACATGCATAATCCGAGACGTTTCCCTTCGAGAGAACTCGTGCTGCGTCCTCTAGCAAAGCTGCCCAGACCACAGAGAGTGGGCTATCTGCTTACAACCCTAGCGGTGGAGATAGCACTGTCTAGGCATGGGCTCAAGGAGACCGCTACTTAAAAACCCTGAGCAGGGGAGCAATCACTGAGCTAGCACATAGCTATCCTCAGATAGCTATGTACCTAGGAAGGAGCTACCAGAAGGGGGACCGACTGAAACTACCCAGACCTCAGATAGCTACATTTCCAGGAAAGGGCTTACCGCAACTGCAAGTAAGAACACATCTAGCCTCAGACAGCTGTATTCAAGTAAGCCCGTCCTGCCATAACAATGGCAGGAATATAACCATCCTCAGATGGCTAAACTAAGGAGGCCCCCAATCAGAGTCAGTCCCACAGTAGGCTAGCAAAGTCACTGTGTTATTGACCATAAGCTCATATGAGGGATATCCGGACCATCAGTAAATGATTCGCTCAGAGCGAACACACAAGACATCATTAGTCCAGAGTCAGAGCCTGATGTAAGCAGTGGCCATAACACTAAATGGGGGAAAGGGGAGGAAGGGAAGAGAATGATCAAGGAGTCCCAGCCTCGGGATGCAGGCGATCACCATGTCTCTTATCTAGGATGTCCCTGAGATCCTTATTCCCTTTGTTAGCGTTAGCTTTCCACTGCCAACTCCTTGAAAGAGGGGCACGGTTAGCGACGCTAGACTTTTGATCTTGTCTATGAGCCTCAGCTCTAGACAAATCACCCCCCTAGAGGAGGATTTGGAGCTCTGAGGAATGAACTTCCTGAAAGCAGCTGATTGCGCTTTTGCCTCTCTGAACTTATCCACAAATGCCTCGATGAAAGTGCCAAAAAGTCCAGTAGGCGAAAGCGGAGTATCGAGAAGAAAGTCCTTTTCTTTCTTCCCGATGACTCACAGATGATCCACAGATGCCTCTCTGTAGTCATCATAGCCACCATTGAGAGACCAATGGCAGCAGCAGTTTGCTTGGTGGCGCGGCGCAGCTCCTCAACTGCATCAGGAGACAAACCTCTGCCCTTATCCAAATCCTTCAGCAAGTCAGCCTGCTTATAACACTGCCATGGTGTGCAATGCTCCACCAGCCTGACCCGCTGCCACATACGCCCTGCCATTCAAGCGCAAGGTGGTCTGAAACACTACGGATGGCAAGGCAGGAAACTTCAAAGAGGATGACTCAGCTTGACCTGCGATCCCCAGCTTCCGCAGTGCCTCGGCAATAAGGGGGACCTGATCTGCGAGGCGCAGATGCTTGCCTCTCCTCCCTCGAGAAGAGAGACCAACGTGATTGGAGCGTGCTCCTAACCTAGACACATAACGCTCAAGTCGTGCTTGTCCTCGGGTGTCAAAAACCTCTGACAGAGACACGCACTTCTTCAAACGCTCGCCCGGCTTCACAGACATACAGTAGTACACACTGTTTGCAAACATACGGCTCCTGAAGACAACAAAAGTTGGTGATGTATTCAGCAGGTGCCCTTTTATACTTCCGGGCACCTGCCAATGACGTCACGGGCCACGTGGACCAATGGGACTGCCGTTTTTTTACACATGCTTCAGACACCGGTCATGCTGGCAGCATTCCCCAAAGTGTCTGCTAGAGGAAGCAGCACAAGTTCCTTAGAAAGGGAATTGTTGCCGCTGCATTCCGCTCACATACTCTGGATCAGAGGCAATTATTCCGCTTATACTATGGTTACCAGATCTTAAATATTTTTCAGATGTTGTATTAAAAGACATTCATCAGGCTTTTGTCCTTAAAACACTCGTGTGTAGGATTAATTTCTTACGCATCTCATCCAACACCTCCGTTGCTAATTCCAAAACTTCATTTTAGACCTAGTAACGGAGTCTTGTTCCATTGATATTCAAGTATTATGTAAATACATATGCATATTTTTATTTATAAAACTGTACAGTAAATAATGCACAAATCTGGACATAAATCTTCTGTTCCAGATTTTACCACATTATTATTACTATTATTATTATTTATTTATTGTTTTTTTTCTTTAGTCTTACTTATTTAATTGTTCTTTCTGTTCTCATGTCATATATTTATGTATGTATATATGTATGTATGTACCAAGAGCTCCTAAAAAAACACAACAAATTCCTTGTGTGTTTGCACACACTTGGCGAATAAAGCTAATTCTGATTCTGATAGCAGACTATTTCAGTTAATAATGAAGTTATTAGAAAGAGAGTGAGAGAGAGAGAGAGAGAGAGAGAGAGAAAGAGAGAGAGAGATTAAGCATGTGTGAATTGCCTGTGCATCTCTAAACAGTGTTTGGCAGCTGCATTTCTACTAATAGCGAAACTGCAAGTTCATTATCTTCAAGAACTTTTAAGTTGCTAAACTATTTTAATGATAAAATCATCAGAGCAGCGCCGACAACATGTTTCTGTGCGTGTGCATGTTTCCGTGTCTGTGAGTGTGTGTGAGTACTGTATGTGTGCGCTTTTGTAAGGGAGAGAACAAAGTAGAAACAGAGTATGTTTTCCCTACATAATAAAACGTAGTTTTGTGGCAAAAACATGAAAATAATTTGGCGTTTTTATCCTGTTGTTTACTATATTTATTTGCTTGGTCAGTGTTGTTGTGGGTTTTGGTTCTTTGGCTGTTGTAGGCTGTAAGGACCTTTGAAATAACTGCATGTCCAGATCACTTCACCAAATAATTTCAATGCGGTCAAGACCTGCCTGGAACTACTTTAGCCGTGTTTCGCTTAAAATAATTGCACACCTTTTAATATGTTTGTCAGCCAATCAGATTCAAGCATTCAACAGCGCTATAAATAAAGTTAAAGATTATGGCATTAAATATTTCTCATTCTTTAAATACTCAGCATAGGCCTGCTAGCTTAGCACACTGCTAGCTTGTTGACTCATTTGTGCGAAGGGACCCAACTGTTCACTATGCAAGTATTCTGAGTTTATTATTGTTACAGTAGTTGCCAAGATGTTATACATGGTTTCTATGTATACTTAGGTTAATAGCCCTGAGTATAAGCAATTGTAGTGCTGATACCTTAGCGGTCAAGGTAACTTTTGAGACTGCGGGAGCCAGTCAAATCAAGACAGGTAAATCACATTTTGTGTAGTATAGCCTGGTTGTTGTCATGTGGTCATATGTGAAGGGGTGGGTTAGTACCTGAGGTAGTGCTTTATTGCACTGGTGATGGTCTTGATCTCCCATTCTGTGCTGTTCAGCTCCACATCTGCACAGGTTTTGGGGTCTAGAGGAGGATTATAGACCCCATGGTTAGACGACAGATTTAATTTACCAGTGACCTCTGTTCAACCTTTGGAATTACCAACACAGCACACTGCCAGTATGTGCAAGTAAACAATGCATACAGTGGGTATAGAAAAGAATCACCCCCCTTTAAAACAATCACATTTTAATGCTTTGCAGCATGAAATGAAGACGGACACAGTTTTGGTTTTATCCAGCTGTATTTACTCAGTGCAACTTATAACATCAAAGTGAAAGATATAACACCAACATATCAGAAACAAACAAAAAAAAAAACACAGGATCACTGAGTTGAAAAAAGGATCACCTCCTTGTGTCTGTATTTTGTTGAACCACCTTTTGCTTTAATTACAGTCTTTATTCTGTTGGGATATGTCTCAACTAACTTTGCACATCTAGACTTTGCAATATTTGCCCACTCTTCTTTGCAGAACTGCTCAAGTTCAGTTCAATTTGATGGTGAGCGTTTGTGGACTGCAGTCTTCAAGTCATTCCACTGATTTTCAATGGGGTTTAAGTCTGGGCTCTGGCTAGGCCATGCAAGGACATTCACCTTTTCCCCCTTCAATCACTGTGTGCTCAGCTTTGCTGTGTCATTGTCATGTTGGAAGGTAAACCTTCTTCCCATTGACAACTTTCTGGCAGAGGGCAACAGATTTTCCTCAAGAATTTGACAGTATTTTGCCCCATTCATTTTTCCTTCTATCCTGACAAGTGCTCCAGTCCCTGCTGTAGAGAAACACCCCATAACAGGATATAACCGATGCGTTACTCCATGCTTTACTGGAAGAATGCTGTTATCTGGATGGTGAGCTGGATTGGATTTCCACCAGACATATCGTTTGGTGTTGAGGCCAAATAATACAATTTTAGTCTCATCTGCCTCAGAATCTTCAAGGTGTGTTTTGGCAAATCTCAGTCATGACTGCATGTGGCCTTTCTGCAACCCTCCCATACAAGCCACATTTGTGGAGAATTTGTGATATTGTTGTCACATGCACACAATGATCACTCTTTGTCATAAATTCCTGCAGCTGCTTCAGAGTTGCTGTAGGCCTCTTGGTTACCTCTCTGACCAATTTCTTCCTGGCTCTTTCAAGCAGTTTGGAGCGATGTCCTGATCCAGGGAGGGTCTGTGTTGTACCGAATACCTTCCACTTCTTAATAATAGACTTCACTGTGCTTATAGGCATTGATAAAGCCTTTGAAAAAAAAATTGTATCCATCTCCTGACTTGTGCCTGTCCACAACTTTATCCTGGAGATCTTTTGACAGTGCCTTGCCACCCATAGTTGATTGTTTGCTTCAGTTGCACTACCAAGGACTGAAATGCTCCAGGAAAGTGATCCTTTTTCCAACTCAGTGATTCTGTTTTTGTATTTTTTTTTCTGACATGTTGGTGTTATATCCATCACTTGAATGTTATAAGTTGCACTGAGTAAATATAGCTGGATAAAACAAAAACTGTGTCCATCTGCATTTCTGGCTGCAAAGCAGCAAAATGTGATTATTTTAAAGGGGGTGATTATTTTCTATACCCACAGTATGTATGCTGGCAACTGTTAATTAGCATCAAAATTGCAAAACATTTCCTAAAGCAGTAGTATAGTCACAGTATATCATTATCACTCTGAGACAGGCAGATAAATCCCAGTGTAACACAACAACATCAAAGTCTATCCTGCCATTCATCCTGAAGAACACTGGCAAAGATTAAGCGGTTTTTATCCTTTTGTGATTTTGAAAGAGGGATGCATGCTTTTGTGTCTTCTCGTCTGGACTACTGTAATTCCCTCTATGTAGGGATTAGTCAGTCCACCCTGTCACGATATCACTCCCATTTTGTCATCTTTACATTGGTTGCCGGTCCATTATATAATTGATTTTAAAATCTTGCTGTTTGTTTTTAAATCATTAAATGGCCTTGCACCATCTTATATTTCAGATTTGTTGCAACCGTACTCTTCATCAAGATCTCTTAGGTCCTCTGACCAAAATCTCTTGATTGTTCCTAGGTCGAGACGCAAACTGTGGGGGGCCGTGCTTTTGCAGTTTCGGCCCCAAGGCTTTGGAACCGTTTGCCTTTACACATAAGGACTGCCTCCACTTTGGTGTCATTTAAGTCCCTTTTAAATACTCATTTATTCTCCCAGGCTTTTTTGCAAAATGCTGCTCAATGACATGTTGTTGGAATGTTGAATGTATGCTCTGTGCTGTGTATATATTGTCTGCTTATCTATGTTTTTTAGAATCTGTACAGCACATTGGTCAACTTATTGTTGTTTTTAATCGTGCTTTAGAAATAAATTGCCTTGCCTTGCCTTCACCGCAGGGTGTGACGGCATTGCTGTCACTTTTTGCATGTGAAGAGGGTTGCGTTTATACTTAGGCAGCTGATAATAATGGTTCCTTGCTAAGTGAAGCTTTATACACAAATATAATACTTAATCGAGGCAGATGTGCTTTGAAAGTACAGTAAAAATATTGTAATATGGGAGAGGCACACGCATACATTTTGGCATAGTGACAAAAAAAGTTAATTGCATTCAACACTGACAGATTAATATTCTTTTAACCTAGTTTTCATTTTATTTAACTAAATGAATTGAAAAAGAAATCTAACAATGTGTCTACCATGCAAACGATTCAATACCACCAAAAAATAACCATTGCTAATCAACATATCTGTCCGTACGAGAGCAATGCATCATGAAAAAACTAGGTCACTCACATAATAATCAATATATCTATCTACACTGCATGGGAGTAATGCGACAAACCTAGATACATTCCATTATAAATCAACAAAGCTGTCGCTGATAATGAATGTGACAATGTGACAACTAGAGCACTCACATTACAATTAACAAAGCAGTCTAAAAAAACCTGCAAGTGAGCACTGTGACAAAATTAGTTACCAGGATCAACGACAAATAAGAATATCCATGATAAAGAAAAGGAAAACCTATTAAAAACCTATTTTAAAATAATAAAAATGTGACATTTTCTTAGAAATGTACTCTATCTTTCTTTACATGCTGGTTTCATATGGTTTTGAAGAACCTTTATATTATTTTCAAATAAAGTTTCAATTTAATGGCTTAAATTAAATGAAAATTGTTTTAATTAAATGACGTGGTGTAACCATCATGCATAAAGTAATAACATATTTTAGCATACCTTTCTTAATAAGGTATATAATAAGGTAATAAATAATATACTTAAAAGAATATACTTAAGGGCGAAAATGTAATGTTTTCGGACACTTAATTGCATGTTACTTGCAATTAAATGAAAATGTGCTATAGTTTAAATTTATATTAAATGCAGTTAGTTGAATTTTTTTATATTCTTGACTAGAGAACTTGTACGTCATTTTTTAAATATATATTTTATTTACCATTTCTAATGATGACATTTATGTACAATTTAGTGAACTTAGTAGATTTAAAATATATTTACTTTAAATGTAATATTGAAGTTATAACCAATTAAGAAGTATTTTACGTATGCTTTAGAATGTTAGTCAATACATCAAAATAAATGTACATTAAATCATGACAAAAGATTACTAAAACGTAATTATATAAAATAAACTTTAAAGAAAAAAAAACTTTTAATGTGATATTATTACAAAGTGCATGCTTTATGACTTTTTTTGCCCCTCAAAAAACATACTGAATTTTAATTCTTAAGTTGAAAAAGTGCTCATCATAGAAGAGGTGTATTCAAACCAATGTATGACTGCATTTTACATTTGTTTTTAAATAATAAATTATTAGATCGGGACAGAAAAGAAAGTAGTGTCATATGCCATTGACCCACCTTCCATTTAATTTAAAGTGATTGTAATTAGCGAAAGTGTATGAGTGTGAATTCTAGGACTGTGGTTTTGGCTTAAAGCATTCAGTATCCAACAAGTACATAGTACTGGTACAATGCATTACAATATTTCTTTAGAATCAGAGAAAATGTGAAGAAGAAAAAAAAAAGTGTACATATTCTGAGCCTAATTATGACTCTAACTCAGTGTCTGTGCTGACTGAAAACAGTTTTAAGGCTGAGAAATGGTATATGTGACATTTATGGCTGAAATTCATTTCATTTTAATCTCCTGGTTTCATTAAAACAAAATAACCAGCAGCAGGGTGCTGATTCTCACCCATGGCCAGGCTGAGTAGTTTCTGCACTCTGGAGCTGACACCGACGATCCTGTATAGCCCCTGTTCATCAATACCTGACAGAGAAAACCAGACTGTCACACTCACTCATGTGCTGGTCACCATCAGACCTTTATTTCTAACAAACAACATGAGGCGTACCTCTGGTTTCTATGGCATAGATGAATTTTTTGACAATGTTGAAGCCGAGGACATCTAATTGTGCCACTTAAATAGAAAGTTCATTGGGAGAGGAAAACAAAAACATCAATACACCTCCGTGGTAAAACAAACAGTAATACAAAACAAAAAAAGTGTTCATGAAACCAGCACGATAAGTGTGTATGATTCTGTGATTCAAATGAAGACTGAAATAGCACCATACTTACTAGCTTCATTCTGGCTGTCACGATTCAGGGTGTATACCTGTGAGACAAGACATTTTGGTCAAGTTTGTGGCTGTTAATACAGAGCAGCTTTGGAAGAAAAAAAAATCTGCATAACAAGTACAATTTAGTGATACCAGATGAGAAGCCATCACAGCATGCAATACCACTGCCTCATTTGTACTATTTTACACGCATAATCTGTTCGCTAAAAGCTTTCGAAAACAGGCTTCATCACACTGAAAGAGCCATTTAGCATGCTAAGACATCATGGTTCTGTTCCAAAACCTAGTGAGCTGCCTACATAGGCAGCATTTTTATTGATATCTATCTATCTATCTATCTATCTATCTATCTATCTATCTATATCTGTCTATAATCATGACAACCCTCAGAATAGTTTAAGCACGCTGCTGTGTGCATGTAAGATTTGCTGCTGCTGCATGAATAGACATACATAAATCTGGTAGCAGATCTAGACAGGTGGAGCTGGGGGAGGTGGAGGATTTCAGAAGAACTGCACCATTTAAAGTTACATGACTGAACTAGTTATTTAATCAAAACCAAATAATATTGATAAGAAATATTCAAATAAATAAAAGTTAACTATTTAAAGGGTTAGTTCAACCAAAAATGAAAATTAAACTTTGCTTCCTTTGCTCCTGTTAACAAATGTTGGTTTTCACGAGACTCACTGGCACGTGCGCAACGCTGACCTCATACGTTATCCACCCGGAGCTGCTTCCAGTGTACAACAGTGAGCGCAAGCTACATTAAAGTGATTATTACGTTTTGAATATGGATATTTTTCTTACAAAAACGCATCAATTTGCTACAGAAGGCCTTTGTTCACCCCCCGGAGCCGTGTGAGACACTTTTTTTTATGGATGGGCGCAGTTTAATTAAGTGCTTTTGGACTGATGCATGCAACACCCGCTGAGTGCCATGAAACAGCTTGAAAGATCAAAGACAATTTTTAATATGATTCGTCTGAAAGAAGAAAGTCATATACACCTAGGATGACTTGAGGGTGAGTAATTTATGGGCTAATTTTTATTTTTGGGTGAACTAACCCTTTAACAACATATTTGTGTGCTCTATGAATTTTCATGCCGAGAACAGCCTCGCGCTGTTAGCTTAGCAGCATTCTAACAGCAAACTCTATTGAAATCAGTTTGTTGAGCGTCCTGCATGTTTTTGTGATAAGCACTATTTGAATTGTTGCCTTCATCAGTAGCTGATGAGGTCCCATTCAATTAGCATGCTGCCCTTAAAGGTAACGGTCTATGTAGGTAGTATACTAGCGAGGCAGCTCACTAGATTATAGAACAGAGCCTAAATCATCCTAAAATACATTACAAATTCAATTATGAAGCCAACACTCAACTAAACCACTATATCTGAATTCATATTAAAAAACAACACAGGCTAAAGGCCTTAACATGCATATTTATGAGACGCAATAAGCCTCATGAATATGCATTCAAAATGAGAATACAGTTTATCTGATGCACAGCAGTGCCAAGCATGTAAAAATCTCTTATAGTGAACGATATCAGATCTGAGAGCGAAACAAATTTCCGATCTCTCAGATAAAGTACCGGTTCTCTTCCGTCCATGGCTTCCATCCAGAGTCTGCGGTCTTCCTCTGACTGCGCCTGCATGGTGATCATGCCAGGCCTGAAACATGCACACACGTCCAGGTGCAAGCATACACAGCGGTACAGTCAACATGCACACACACACACACACACACACACACACAAAATTCTCCTGTGATGCATGTATATTTACAGTTGGACACTCTTAGTAGATAAATAAACTAGAGAACCTTTGCATTCTAGGACAATTTATTTTTGTAAAATCTACAAAGCCACCCTTAATTGTATTCAATTTTCACTTGTAGTGTACTTGTAAATAATATAATACTAATGATACTAATACTAATAAAGTGCCACTTGGACTTAAAATGCACTTAAAGAGTTCATTTCTAAAAGTAATAATGTCAATGTAAAAGTTTTAATTTAAAGAACAATTTAAATGATTGTGTTTTAATAATATTTTGTCATGTTTTAAAGAAGTACACTTATTTTGAGGTGTTGAACATTAAAGCACATCTAAAGTACTTGATTATAATTTTAACTGGGTTTAACCTAAAAGCAATTACGTTCAACTGATGAACTCTTTAAACTAAATAACATGCAATTAAGTGTTTGGAAACAATGTATTATTTTAAACTATAGTATTTCCATAATGAATACCCTTTTTTAAAAGTATGCTAAAGTGTATTGTACTTCTGTTTCACAATTGCAAAAGCATTCATAGTTAAAGAAACACACATAAGTCATTACCATGCTAACAAAAGTAGATATATCAGATAATGAAGATGTTATTTGAACAAATGGATAGTATTTCATGACTTGCAAAATGACAGTACAGACAGTCAGTCCTATAGATAGGTATATCTAGCATATAACATTTAGCATATAACAATGTAAGAGCCAGTATATGCTGTGTGTTGGTAAACCCTTTAATATTTCAGTATGGCAGCTCTATCAGTAAATCAGTAGTACACACACTCACACACCATTAACTTGCGTGACAACTGAAGGTTAGGCCATGCCAGGGCAGGAAGAGTTATGGTAATAAAACTGGGCCTGTTTAATTGAGTTTGTGCACAGGAAAGCCTGATAGATTTACAATGTGGTAGTACACTGCTGCTGTGGAGGGCAAAAGCAGGAGGCTATTGCAAAATTGCAACGTGTTTTGTGTAAAATACATTTGTGAATAGTTAACTAGATATTTTTCCAACTTCATCATGACACATCGACACTGAATCATAAGGCAACATAAGCCACAAAGGCAATGTGCATGCAGTGTCTGAAATTGTCCCTCACTAAATGGCCAAAGTAAAATTAGTGAATTCACTCACAGCTATAGACACTACATAGCATTACACTATTTTTAATGACTATTGTCTAAATGTGATTATTTTCTTTTTAAAAATATTTGTATAAATGTTTTCACCTGAAAACAAGTAAAAACCCTATATATATAATGTTCAGTGTACTGCACATTATATATAATGTTTTGACATATCCACTTAGAACACCTGAATCTGAATGTGACTCTTTATACTGAGACATATTTTCTGAAAATCCAGCTAAAGTTTTATTAAGAAGAATTTTTAAAAGGAGTTCGACCACATGCAAATTTGCTTTGCATTAGGTGTATAAAAGTCGGATTTTTCTTGTTTTCAGTCAAATTAAAACTTATATATATATATATATATATATATTGAGAACTAAAACTACATAAATTAAAACTTTCTGAAATTATACACCACTGGTCAAAAGTGTTGAATTATTAGGACATTTTAATGTTTTTGCTGCATTTGTTTGATCAAAAATACTGTAAACAGTAATATTTTTAAATATTATTGCAATTTAAAACAACTTTTTATTTCATCTTTTTAAATAAAGGTTCTGTTTTAATATGTTTTTAAATGTAATTTATTCCTGTGATGCAAAGCTGAATTTTCAGCAGCCATTACATCAGACTTTAGTGTCACATGATCCTTCAGAAATCGTTCTAATAAGCTGATTTGGTGCTTATTATCAATCATTATTTGAGCTCAGTTATGAATATTGGTTCTTATTATTATAAATCTTAAAAACAGTTTTGTTTTTTTAAACTGTGATACTTTTTTTTTTAATTCTTTGATGGAAAGACAGTTCAAAAGAACAGCATTTATTTGAAATAGAAACCTTTTGTAATATAAATGTCTTTACTATCACTTTTGAATAAACACAGTCTTGGTAAACTTTTGACCAACAATGTATATCCTGGATTAAAATAATTTCTCTTACCCTACTTGTTTTAAAAATGCAAATTTAACAGAATTTAGTAAGGTTTATGCTTAAAATGCGAATCGTAGTGGGGAAAGAAACAATATTAATTTAAGATATATTCTCTGGAGATAAATCTTATTATGTGACACACTTTTGCTGGGAATCAAGACTAAAATATTGACCTTTTTTTTTTTTTTTTTGCTGCAATGTGCAAAGCGTGATGTAAACCCAGCATTACAACACTGTGTCATCAGGGCCTAGAGCAGTGGTTCTCAACCTTTTTTTCCACCGGGCCGCACTATGGTCCAAGTGCAAGTCTCGTGGGCCGCACACCTATCATTTACATATTATGTCAGCAATACAAACCAACCTGATTTATATTATTATAGCCTAAATATTATGATATCTAATCGATTACATTCATTGAAATAAATAAATAATTCTACTCCCCATAAATAACACCCAATTTTGTGAACTTCGGCTTGAAAGGCGGAGTTTCACTTTTATGCGTGGGGGGGGCACCCACTGGCAGACGAGCCACGAGCACTTTTTTATATGTTCTACATTTCATGTATTTATGTAACACATATTCTACATTAAAAAATTAATTTAGAATGAACAATGACTGCTGTACAAAGAGTAAAAAAAACATACCTAATGCAGAAAAGCCGCCTCTTTTTCCGAATTGCGCAGATGACCACTATCTTTCTTTCATCTCTTCTGATAAATTTTCAGTCAAATCGTTTTCTGTGTGCTAGATCAGAGCTAGAGCCCTGCATTTCAGCCCGGGACCGA